CTCCCCGTTGAGCAGGGAGCCCGATGCGGGACTTGATCCCGGGACTCCAGGATCATGACCTGAGCCGAAGGTAGTCGCTTAACCAACTGAGCCACCCAGGCGCCCTCTACTCATTCTTCAGGATCTTGCTCATCTGTTGCCTCTTCTGTAGAGGTGTCTTTACCATTTTTCCCAAGCAGAGAAAATGGCTCTCTCTTCTCCATTCCTTCAATGCCTTAATCATATCTTGGGTTTGGTTTGGTTTTGTTTGTTTTTTGGTCTGTTTGTATGTCTCTTCCTTAGTTCCCTAAAAAGCAGAACTCTTGTTTTACATATCATTTTATGTTTGAAACTCTGCTTAACACATAATAGGCATTCAGTAGATGTTTGGTGAATAGACATGTCTGTATTTTAGATTTATTTTGCTATAAAGATCTCAGTTAGACAAACCAAGTTAAACAAAGTAAAATTTTAGATCCCATCACTTTTTGGAATTTTGAAGCCGTTTTACTTAACGTTTTATGAGTTTCACTTAATGTAATTATTTTTGGCCTTTTAAGAATGGTAGTACAATTTCAGCATGACCTTATTTCTTATAAAATAACTCAGCTTTTTTTTTTTTAAAGATTTTATTTATTTACCTGAGAGAGGATGAGAGAGAGAGCATGAGAAGGGGGGAGGGTCAGAGGGAGAAGCAGGCTCCCTGCTGAGCAGGGAGCCCGATGCAAGACTTGATCCCACAACTCCAGGATCATGACCCGAGCTGCAGGCAGTCGCCCAACCAACTGAGCCACCCAGGCGCCCCAAAATAACCAGCTTTTAGTGGAACACTATATAACAATTAAAAATAATGAGTTAGACCTATATAGAGATAAGAAGAGATGTACAAGATATATTGTGAAGTAAAGAGTTACATAAAAGTTTGATCCTGTTTTTAAAGATGTTATGTGTAAAGAAATCCAGACAAATATAAATTAAATTATCCTTTTCTCTTTATTCTTTTATTCTCCAGTCTTTTTTAAAAAAATATTTTAGAGAGAGCACAAGAGTGTGAGCAGGGGGAGGGGCAGAGGGAGCAAGCAGACTCCGAGCTGAGTGTGGAGCCCAATGTGGGGCTCCATCTCACAGCCCTGAGAACATGACCTGAGCTGAAACCAAGAGTCAGATGCTCAACTGACTGAGCGATCTAGGCGCCCCTTTTCCCCAATCTTTTAATATAGTATTTCTACTATGTAATTCTGCAGTGTTTGAATTTTTATGCACTAAGCATGTACTTTCAAAAGCAGAAAAAAAACCCAAACCAAACCAACCACTCTTCAGTTTTCAACCTTTCATATTCTTATTCACAGAAAAATAAAGTCTAGGTAGCAAAAGTTTGTTTTGTTTTGTTTTTAGTTTGCCCAGAGTGTTAAAAAATATCTTTAAGAAAAAACTGAAATATAAACATGAGTCTGAAGACATTTTAGCTATATATATCAGATCAGGTCAGTTACTGAGTGTCTAAGTGCCTACTTTGGGAGTGGAGTGTGCCAGGTGCTATAGCAGAATATGAAGGATGTGGTTTCTGTTGTGTAGTTACTTACAGCTTATGCTGGGTAGCAGAAATTCCTGAGTAGCAGTTTGTGAAGGAAATAAAATAAGTTCTAATCCTATAATTACCTATTTTATTTTATTTTTTTTTAAGATTTTATTATTTATTTGACAGAGAGACAGTGAGAGAGGGGTTTATTTGACAGAGAGACAGTGAGAGACGGAACACAAGCAGGGGGAGTGGGAGAGGGAGAAGCAGGCTTCCCGCCGAGCAGGGAGCCCGATGCGGGGCTCGATCCCAGGATTCTGGGATCATGACCTGAGCCGAAGGCAGTTGCTCAACCAACTGAGCCACCTAGGTGCCCCTAATTACCTATTTTAAAGATATCTTCCTTAAACGGAAAATTTTCCCTTATATTTTGAGAGTGGAACTTTATTTCAGTGTCTTATTAGAAACTGAAACATAAGAATTGCTTTGTTTTAAAGTCAAATTGGAAAGGACATTTGCTTGTAGGTAAGATGTAATGAAAAATAAGATAGCATAAGGAAGATGTTTTTTTAATGATTAAATGGCAAAGATTTTAAAATAGAAACTCCTGAAGTCAATTCCTAATAAACATGCCATATGTTTGACTACTATCTGAATTGTCACTCAGATCATTAAACTGAAAATATATAGTTGCTGTTCAAAAAAGTATTTTCTTGACATATTTAGTTGATATTTTCTCTAAGTTTGACTGAATAATTGTTAAGTGAATATCTTTGGCTTACCAATTGCTAAGTGGCTACCAAGGTAGGTTTAGTTTAAAGTTTCAGGGTTCTAAAACTCATTGAAAATAATTTGGAATACTTTGTCTCTTCTACCTGTAAAATGAAGTAGAATTTTAATAGAAAGGACTTGGTTTACATATTAAAACAGTTCTCTTCTAAAAATGAGATACTCTTCTTATGATGGAGATTCCATTGTGACTGCTGCTTTTTTTTTTTTTTTTTTGCTTCCTACTGAAGAAGCTCTTAAGTGCACTTGCTAAGAACATAAGGAGTCATGTCAGAGGTCAGTTATTTGAGTCCATTTTCCCACAGCTGCCTGGTGCGAGTGATCTTTTACTGTGTTTTAAAAAAATGGGCAAGGATTAGAGAGGATTAGAAAGAATATTACCCTCCTGAATATAGGCCCAAGGCACTAAGGGGAGAGAACCCAACCAGGCAGCAAATGGGCTTTGCTTGACCAGGACACAACCTCTGCTGCATTCCTTTAAGAAACTGAATGGGAAATGTTAAGTCCCCAAACTGGATTAGTAAATAATCTCATAGCTTGTGACATCTGCTAAAATAAATTGATGAGCAGACTGCATTCTTACACTTTGAGGAGAGAGCCAGAGACATCAAGATTAACTATTATTTTTTTTCCAGCTTTATTGAGGTATAGGAGTAAGAGTAATTAAAGATGGGCATTAAGCTCAGTGAGTGTTGGAAAGGCACATTTCATAAAAAAGAAAAAATTATTTTAGTTACATTAATACAGTGCATACACATATATTGATTAGTAACCTAAGGCTCAATTTTGAAACCACCACACTGTTTTGTTTCTTCCTGCTTGTAGCAGTTTTAGAGTGTTTCACAAGTTTCAGCTCAAATTTATGTTGTTTATCTCCTTAGTTTGTATAACAACCTGAGGAACTTAGAATTTGAAGTTTGAGAATGTATCATTTACAACACTTCTTAGGAGTGTTTCTCTTTCTATATTTTATAACAGAAGTTAATGTGATTTGGACCTTACGACACATAATTTGGTATCAAATTATGTAGAACCAAAGAGGTTGTTTCAAACTAGTCTAGTAGGGAAAATGTACTCTGGTCTTAGTCTTTGGAGGAAGTATTTAGCTAAGTATTTTTTGAAAAGTTTTGTTTTAATTTGACCACTTTAATAGTAAAGATGATGTACAAGTGGTTAATTTTGTGTCTTTTTTCATGTAATTAGTACATTTAATTATACTGCTTTTGTTGTGGATTATAATATTAAGGTAAGTATTTTCTTCAAGACTTTAAGATATAATTTAATTTCATATGTGAGAACTGATAGGCCATAACTTCTTTAACAGGCACACTCACTAATTCCTTAAATGTGTCTTGCTCTAAGCGTTCTTAGCCTTGTTCAAGTTGGCCTGTACTCCAGTCCGCTGTGTCTCCCTACCCCACCACCCGGTCTGTTCATCTACATTCTACACATCTTTATATGTCAGTTCATATCCCCAATTCCATCAAGTGGTTTATTTTCAACTCCTAAATCATAATTAATACCTCCTAAACATATAGTTACCACATGACCCAGCGCTTCCATTCCTAGGTATATACCCAAGAGAGATGAAAACATATGTTCAAATAAAAACTTGTGCATGAATGTTTATTAAGATGAAAACAACCAAATGGTCATCAAATAATGAATGGATAAACAAATGTGGTATATCCATATAATGGAATATTACTCAGCCACAAAAAGGAACGAGGTACTGGTATATGATATAACATGGATGTACCTTGAAAACATTATGTGGGGTGAAAGAAACCGGTTACAATAGACCATATATTATGCGAGTCTTTTTGTATAAAATAGCCAGAACAGGCAAATCTATAGAGATGCAAAGTAGATTAGTGGTTGCTTAGGGGGAATGGGGGTTAGAGGGTAATAACAAAAGAGGATGGGGTTCTTTTTGCTGTGATGAAAATGTTCTAAAATTGACTGTGGTAATAGTTGTACTTATCTGTGAATATACTAAAAACCATTGAGTTGTACACATTTTTTTGAGTCATATACTTTAAATGGGTGAATTGTAAAATATGGATTATATCAATCTATTATAAAAAAAGCTAAAAAAATTGATATCTTCTATCCAAATTCTTATATACATATACACTGTTTATACCTCTAATAAAGCACTCAGCATAGTCTTATTATAATCATTAGCTTAAGAAATCTGTCTTTCTATTACAGTAGGAAGCTCCAGAGAATCTAGTGTTTCCTAACATAGTGCTTTGCTCTCAGTAGGTATTAATTTAATTGAACTTACTCACAATTAAGTTCCTCCACCTGTAAGATGGGAATGAGAGAAAAAAAGAATTGAATGTCAGCACAAAATGTTCTTCCAAAATTGGATTTTATGATTTTTATACTTAATTCTCTTTTGGAAAAATAGATATTTGCTCTCACATTATTTCCTCAGCTTGAATTTCCATTATGTATTTAGCAAGGTCATACATAAGCCATTTATCATCTTATTTTTGCCCATAGGAATATTCTGATCTTTGGAATTTGCATAGATGAGCATTTTATACACATGCTATCAGTGTGACCCTCTTGTCATCTCAACTAGCTTAATATTTGTTTTTTAACATTGTAAAATTTGAATCTACATTTATGTGGGTGTTTGAACTTAACATAATTTAATTTTTCGTTTTTCTGTGGTGTGTCTTTGTGTGTGTTATCTTTCTAGTACTTACTAGAGATGAAAAGTCTAATTTTACCTCCAGAGCACATTCTGAAACGGGGTGATAGTGAAGCAATCGCCTATGCTTTCTTCCATCTTCAGCACTGGAAGAGAATAGAAGGTGCTCTTAATCTGTTACAGTGTACGTGGGAAGGCAGTAAGTATTCTTTTCCAAATGTACCGCTAATCTCTTGGACTATTCGTTGCATTCCCAGGCAGCCTTTTTAAATAAGATTGTCTGAGTTTCCCTAAGTATTGTTCAGATTGGTTTCAAAGTGAACCCAGAGGTGTTTATTTTGTTTATTGGTAGGAGAAATACTTAATGTACTTATATTGATGCCACATTTAGGAAGAGCAAAATGAGAAACTGTTACAGTATTCTGCCATATGTTCATTTAAGTTACATATTTGTAAGGAAAGAAAATGAAAACTTACATCCCTTGGTTTATAGGCTTTTTAATGTGGTTGAGTTATTCTAGTATTTTTTAAATTGGACTTTTGTTTAATTTTCAGATGTTTACATCATGAAACTATTTTCTTCACAACTAATATCAACTCTTGTTCTTTTTTTTAAATCTATTTTTTTATTATGGTAAAATACACATAACATAAAAGTTACTATTTTAACCACTTTATTTATTTTTTATTGTTTTTTAAAGATTTTATTTTTAAGTAATCTCCACACCCAACGTGGGGCTCGAACTCACAACCCTGAGATCAAGTCACACACTCTGCCGACTGGTTCAGCCAGGTACTCCCATTTTAACAGTTTTAAAATGTACGGTTCAATGGCATTATGTACATTCACATTGTTGTGCAACCATCACCATCATCTATCCCTAGAGCTTTTTCATCATCCCAAACTGAAAATTCTGTACCCATTAGACAATGACTCCCCATTCTTCCCCTCTCCAGTCCCTGGTAACCATTCTACTTTCTGTCTCTATGAGTTTGACTAGTCTAGATATCTTCTATAATGGAATCATACAGTATTTGTCTCATTAAATCAGGCTTACTTCACTTAGCATAATGTAGCATGTGTCAGAAAAACATCCCTTTTTAGGGCTGAATAATATTACATCGTATGTATATATTACCCTTTGTTTATACATCCATCTGTCAATGGACATTTGGGTTGTTTCCACCTTTTGGTTATTATGAATAATGCTGCTATGAACATGGGTATTACAAGTATTTGTTCAAGTTCCTGCTTTCAGTTCTTTTGGGTATATACCTAGAAGTGGAACCTGTAGATTATATAATTCTATGTTTAATTTTTTTGAGGAACTGTCTTACTATTTTCTGTGGCAGCTGTACTATGTTATATTCCACCAGCAATGCACAAGCGTTTCACTTTCTCTGTATCCTTGCTAACATTTGTTCTTTTTTTTTTCTTTTAATAGCCATACTAATGGGTGTGAAGTGGTATCTCATTGTGGTTTTGATTTGCATTTTCCTAATAATTAATGTTGTTGAGCATTTTTTTTTATGTGCTAATTGACCATTTGTATATCTTCTTTGGAGAACTAGATTGTTTTTCAAGTAACTACCAGATCTCTTATTTGTAACTTCTTAAAGTCACTTAGAAAATGAAAAAGCTTAACCAAAATATTTTGTCAGTTGAATTCTTATAATGATTGTCTTGGAAAGTACACTCCTGCTATCAATAGAAATTCAAAAATAAATTCAATACTCATTAACTAGAATTGGTTAACCCCCTCAGTTCCCAAACTTTGTAATGAGGCATCTTGGGGCATTGTAGCAAATTCACAAGAATGCCATGGGATATTTTAAAAATTTCAGTGGAAGCACAGCAATACTCAACATCTGTCAAGCATCATTCTGTTAGCTCTGCATAGTTCAAGGTTTCACCATTAGGTGGCTCTCCATTCTCTATTTCTTTTGATCTTGTCATAGCTTTGTGAAGCTGGGTTTTTCTTAATTGCTATGATTAAAAGAACTACCACGCAAAAAAATCAGTGTGGAACAGGAAATGAGGATGGCGGTGTCCAATCTGATTCCAAGGTCTGAAAAGTTATGTGGTGTCCAACAGGTACATACATCCCATTAGTAAGAAAAGGTGATTGTTTAAAAAATGAAATAATTAGAGGCGCCTGGCTGGTTCAGTCGGTAGAGCATGCTGCTCTTGATCTTGGGGTTGTAGGTTCAAGCCCCACATTGGGTGTTAGAGATTACTTAAAAAAATAAAATCTTTTAAAAAAATGAAATAATTATTTTTCCCTTTAATTGACATAGATATTTTCCCCCCAAATCACTGCTAAGTTGTTAGGACATAAACCTTTAAAGTTGTTTGGACCCACTACTTAAGTGGAATTGTTAGGTATTTCTTTCAGCCTAGGGGCATGAAGAGACATGAAGGGCACCATGTATCCTTAAAGCAAGAGAATTTGGGAACCTCTGCATTAACCACTTGCTAAGGGTCAGACACTGCGTGCCACTGACAATATGCAGATTAATGAAACTGGAACTACTAAAACTGAGGAGTGGAATGTCTTTGGGTAATTAGTCTTCCTTTTGATTTTTCTCTAGTAGTCAGTAAGCTCCTCAAAGCCAGGTCCTCTGTCTCATTGATCCTGTATGTGTCTTCAGTGCCTAATGTTCTGCCTGGCACATAGGAGGTTCTCAGTAAATATGTGACTTACACTGTATTTCATAAATAATCTTCTTTATGAATGATTTCCTAGTGTTACCACTGATTTGCTCTGTGCCTTTGGACAAATCCCTACTCTTTATTGTGGCAGAACAAAATTCATATTTTGACAAAAGTTTATAGAGCTAAGCACTAAAGGAAAATAAAAACATCACAATTTTGATGAATACTCAGCTAGCTGAGTAGCTAATAAAGATTCCTTCTTTAAGAAGTCTGTAAGAGCTGATGGTAATCTAGATCAGGGATGGGTAAACTTCTGTAAAGAGCCAGATGGTAAGTATTTAGTCTCTGTGGCCATAGTCTCTGTTATAGCTACCCAATTCTTGTAGCATGAAAGCAGCCTTACATAATACATAAATGAACAAGTGATTTTAATATTTGTATTCTAATAAAATTTTATTTATAAACATAAATAGTGGTCCAGGTCTGGCCAAAGGATGATGCTTTGGTGACCTCTGATTTAAGTTAAATTCTGCTTGTAGAAAACTTTGGTGATATCTAACACATGAAGTTAGGAGCCATTGAGAACTCTTGTAGGTTAGGTTGCCAACAGTTTGGGTCACAACAGTTATACATGTCAATTTTATGAAGATACCTGGAAGAAAAGGAATTCATACCCACAGAGTTAAGTCTGTTGTGTTTATAGTGAGGAGACAGAGGCAAGAAGGACCTAGCCAGCCTTACCACCCACTACTCCTTTTAGTTTTATTCCAGCCAGACCATTCTATTCTCTAAATAAATCTTATTCTTCCTCTTAGTCCCTCTTTTGCTTACTTTGTTTCTTTCATCTAAAAGGTATCTCTAAAAAAATTAATAAATGCTATGTGAAAATTTTACAAAAGTATGTCTCCAAAGTTGCTTTGATCTGTAGTATGGGATTGAAAGTGAGTCTGAATGGAATGTCAACTTACGTATTTTTTTTCTCAGCTTTTAGAATGATTCCATATCCATTAGAGAAAGGCCATCTATTTTATCCTTATCCCAGCTGCACAGAGACTGCTGATAGAGAGCTATTACCTAGTAAGTAAATATTCTAGTTTTCCTAAACTTAAAAGTAGTTGTGAGATTGTTTTTCATAGTATTTTCTCATAGTAAAAGTGCTGTTGGTTGAAATTCAGGATACTGTTTAAAATACTATTTTAGCCATTTCTTGGATGTAGTTGCATAAGTTCATTCCCATATGTTTCTGGGGTAAAATGCTATGTGAGATGCAATGAAGAACACAAAAGCTGAAGATATTAAAAAGAGCAGCCATCTTACAAACATTTGAAGAAGAGATAATACCAATCCTTCACAAACTCTTTTCAGAAAAGAAAGGAGGAAGGAACACTTCCCAGCTTATTCTGTGAAACCAGTATTACCCTGATACCAAAACCAAAGACATTACGAGAAAACTATAGAATGATATCCCTCATGAATATAGACACAAACATGTTCAACAAAATATCAGCAAACTGAATCCAGCCATATATAAAAAAGATTATACTCCATGAGCAAGTGGGATTTACCTCACAAATGCAAGTGGCTTAACATGTCAAAAGGCAATGCATCATGTTAAGAGAATAAATGACACCAGATGCAGAAAAAGCGGCTGACAAAAATCCAACAACCATTGCATGGTAAAAATTTTGAACAAACTAGGAATAAGAGAATTTCCTTAACCTGATAAAGAGCATCTATGAAAACCCCACAGCTGACAGGATACATAATGGTGATTTTACGATTTAACCATTGAATGCTTTCTCTCTAAGATTAAGAATAATGCAAGGATGTCTGCTCTCTGCACTTCACTTCAGCATTGTACTGGAGATCCTAGTCAGTGCAATCAAGCCAGAAAAAAAAATAAAAAGGCATTCATGTTGGAAAAGAAGAAGAAAACTGTCTTTATTCACAGATGATGTCATCTTCTATGTAGGAAATCCTAAGAAATTCATAAAAATACTATTAGATCTAATAAACAAGTTTAGCAAGGTTGCAGGATATAATATCTGCATATAAAACTCAGTTGCATATTTATATACTGGCAGGGAATAATCAGTCCAAAAATGAAATTTAGAAAACTTCTAATCACAGTAGCATCAAAAAGAACAAACAATTCAGGAATAATTTAAATGGCTTGTATACTAAAAACGATGTCATTTGCTGGGAGAAATTAAAAAAAAACTAAGTAAATGGAGAGACATTCCATGTTTATTGATTGGAAAACCGAGTATTATTTATATGGCAATTATATCCCTACCAACAAAAACTGACAAGCTGATCTCAAAATTTATATGGAAAGGTAAAACACTCAGAAGAGCCAAAGCTGTCTTTACAAAGAATGAATTTGGAAGGACTACACTTTCCAGTTCTAAAAAGAGCAGTCTTAGACTTAGGGGGAGAACCAGAAGTATATAGGGTTATGATCGCTGAGGGTCCCATTGAGTCCCTGCTTTCAGGAAGCCAAACTTCTCAAAAGAATGGTCTGTACTTATTTGTCTCAGCTGCCTTATCCTCTCACTCTTCTCTGTGAACTGGTAAATTTCTGTGTAACTTTTCTTTTTATGATTTAACCAATAAGTAAGCATGCTGAAGGTTATAAACACTAGCACCATGTTTCCTTATGTGATATAAACCTATGCCAGTTTTTACAGTTCTGGGGCCATTAGAGCTCAAGTCTAAGAAGGAAAGTTGCAGTTTTACACCAACAAACGTGGTGAACTGAAAGGTCCAAACAGATAGATGAAAATTTAGGAGAGATATGGAAGTTGAGTATGCTGATATTTTTCTCCCAGGGTCTTTTATTTTCTTCCATCCTCTGAGATAAGTTATCTGTTTTTTTCTTTGAACTCTCAAAGTACTTTGTGGACTTCTTAACCTCCCCCTTCTAGATTGTAAACTTGAAGGCCAGGATTCTCTTTATCATCCCTCTATGTATCTCTGCAATGTTCACAATGTCTCTATAATGTTCACAATGAAAATTGATATTCAGCAAATATTTTAATTAGTCAAATTTATTAATTTATTCTTTTTTTAAAAAAGATTTTATTTATTTATTTGACAGAGAGAGACACAGTGAGAGAGGGAACACAAGCAGGGGAGCGGGAGAGGGAGAAGCAGGCTTCCCGCCGAGCAGGGAGCCCGATGCGGGGCTCGATCCCAGGACCCTGGGATCATGACCTGAGCCGAAGGCAGGTGCTTAACGACTGAGCCACCCAGGCACCCCTTCTTTTCTTTTGTTTTAGTTTCAGAGGTAGAGTTTATTGATTCATCAGTTGCATATAACACCTACTGCTCATTACATCAAGTGCCCTCCTTAATGTCATAAACAGGCCAAATACATTGTCAGTACCCAACAAAAATATTAAATATTAGTACCTTTTCCTCGTTATCCTACTCCAAACTTCTGAACTGCTCATGAGTTAATAGAAAGACTGATAAACAGTGTGTTAAGTGCTGCATGTGTGGAATAGATTATAAGGAAGCTGAAATGGGGTGTGCTATCTCTCTAAGGGCAGGGATGATTCCCAAATCTGACTTGATTGACTTGAAGAATGGGAAATCCATCATACAGCAGGAGGAGCAGGTTTGGGAACAGGAATGGGGGAAGTAAATTCAGGCTTTGAGTATGTTGCATGTATACCACATCTTGTATGTGTGTGTGCACATGTGTATGCATGCTTAATTCTATCTGTAATCTATTTTGCACGTATATACATATTTTTGTATCTCTAAATATATGGTCCTAAGATATATTTATAAGATATATATGTATATTAAATATGTATATACTATATAAATAGTAAACGTTGTAGGTATTCTTTGGGTACAAGTAATAGCTGTTTTAAACTTAAAATTTGTTAGGAGAAGACTGGATTATCTCAAAGAATCCAAAGGCAGCTTCTGAGGCAGATTACAGTCGGACCTTAGAAGGGACTAGAACCAGAAACTAGAGGGCTATCAGGATTTCCGGGAGTCAGTTATCTGTATATCTCTATCTCTGGCTGCCTTTTTCCATCTCTCCTGTTCGTACTTTTCTTTTTCTCCTTCCCCAACGCCATCTCCTCTCTGTATGAACTCTCATTTCTGCTTCTCTCAATGTGTCTGCTTCATTTTTCTATCTTTCTCTTTGTCGTTTGGCTTTCCCTTCTTGGATACTCATGTAGCCAAACTTGATGCCCTTACATGGCTCTAGTTTACACGTTATCAGTTCAAGCAAATTGTACAGCATGAATACGATCTCAATCTGGCTTCTAAAACTTCTGGAGGAGAGCATCAGATTTATCCAGGTGTTTATTCCTGGTGTGGTTAGCCATGGCCTAGGGACAGGGTCAGGTTGTGTATATAGGATTCCTGGGGGTTCCACTATCTCTTTCTCTCTACATCGGTACATCACCATACCAACTTGGGAATCATCATTTTCTAGGCATGGATGAGATCACTAAGGGAGACTGTGTAGAGTGAGAAGTAAACTAAGAGTGGAACCATGGGGGCACAAAAATGTTGAAGGAATGGGTGGCTGATAAGGAGTTGGGAAGATTCAGTGAAGGAGTGGACAGAGAGGACAAGAACCAGAACCAGATAGGCTAGGAACTAAAAATTTCCAAGTGAGGAGGAGTATCTGATATCAAGGAGGGTGATTACTGTGAAGAACCCATTGACTCTGCTAATTAGAAGGTCATTAGTAAAAGAAATTTTATTTTCTTTCCTAGGATGGTGCTGGTAGTAGTTGTTCTTGTTGTTTTTCCATTTTAACAGAAACAAGGATATTTAAGGCAAAGGAGTCAATCTTTAATTATGGAACATCAATATGCAGGAGTGTATTATATTAGGTTAATACATTTAGCCTAATATAATGCCCCCTCCAAATCATTACAAAAGTTGCTTAAGGCCAATTTTACATAGTAATATGAATAAAATCGGGGTTGTTATCATGTATTGCCAGAGTCACAGGCTATAAGAATGAAGAGTTTGCTTTTTTGGCGGGACTTTATTATTTCTAGGGTACTTACACATTTGCAAATTCCAGGAGGTAGGAGAGGAGGGATATGCTGGGGTTTTGTTTGATTATATTGTTTGTTCTGAGAGTATTTGTCTGTGGTAGAATGAACAAATTTTTAATAATGTGGAGTTCTAATACCCAGGAGTACTTAATGTTTTTTTGTTTTCAGTTCTCCTTCAACCTTGATATGACTTAGAACATTCTGGAATTTGCTTAGGAACCTCATAAGTTCAGACTTGAACTATTCCCTTAGTTCACATAGCTATTTAGTTGTCTTTTATGCCTCCTGATAAATTTTTCTCTACAAGCCAGTGATGAAATTTGAACTTTACTTCCAAGGGAGTGTTTCTGTACTAGTCATCCATTATACTGATGTATTAGCCAAACATTGACTGACAAACGAATCTACAGAAAGCAATCCAAAAAGAAAAAATTACGTCTCTCCTATAATATGAAAAGCTCATATTTTAAGAAATTATCTTACTAAAGCTATATCGTTTTCTACCTTAAAAAGTGGAAATAGGGTGCCTGGGTTGCTCAGTCATTAAGTGTCTGCCTTCGGCTCAGGTCATGATCCCAGGGTCCTGGGATTGAGCCCCGCATCGGGCTCCCTGCTCGGCGGGAAGCCTGCTTCTCCCTCTCCCTCTGCCCCTGCTCTTGTTCCCTCTCTCGCTGTCTCTCTCTCTGTCAAATAAATAAATAAAAATCTTAAAAAAAAAAAGTGGAAATAATACTATCTATCTCTTAAGGCTATTGAAAAAATCAAACTAATAGAAATTAAAGCACTTTGTAAATCATAAAATGCTATACAGTTCAATTAATTTTATCAACGTTGCTGTCTCTCATGCGATAGGAATTTTAGTGACCATTGGTATACGTAAGTGTTCCCTGTCTTTGCAAGTACCATGGTTTATTTCTCTTGGTTTGCTAGAAGAAGTTGGCCTCTCATGCTTGAGGGACAGGGCAAAAGCGACTGCTGGTTTTTTGGGTGCTGAAAGTACAATGTTGTCCACAGCTTCTAATGTTTCTAACTTTTTTAAAAACAAATTCAGATTTGGTGTGCTTTTACTTTAAACGTGACCCAAGCCTCTGGAAATTTTCTGGATTTTTAATGAGTTCAGTTTTTGGCATATACTTTTGAGTATAGTATAAGACATAAAAAATATGGCTACCAAAGGAAACTTAGGTGTAATCTTCTCTGTGAATCGTTATGTTGGAAAAAGTGAAATTTATAGCTGACCTTGATTCAGCACTGAATTAGTCATCCCTTACTTATGCAGGATATTACATCAGGAATTCTTGGGTTTGTGTCCAGCCCTGAGCAGTCAACTTCCTGGACAATGAAGTCCCAGAATAGCTCTCCGTTTAACAGACATTTATTGAGCACCTACTGTGTGCCATACATGGTGATAGTCACATCTCAGCATTGGTATTCAGGTATTTTCAATCAAATTTCAAATAAGATAGAAATACTTGAATACTATTAGTAATGAAATATCCAGTCATTAGAAAAATTATACCTGAGTTAATGTGTGAATGTGATAAAATCAGACGAGGGACTTGATTTATGTTCAGAATCTTAGGGCTTTGGTGTTCTAGTTCCATTTTTGTGGTGCTCTATGAAATGCCACACATAGAACATTTATTAATAGCTGGGTAAAATTATGGTTCTGGGAAATCTGCAACCACACATCTGTCTCTTGATCACTATACTTGTCTCTGAGCTCCCGAAGAGCAAGAATTATAACAACTCACATTTAAGGACTTACAGTGTTCATCATAACAACTCCGTAGCAACTATGAGAGGGTTTAGCAACTTATTCAAGACCACACAGCTAATAAGTGACAAAGCTCTTCAAAACCACCTCAGCATGACTTTACAATTAATGTTCTTTCCCACGATGCCATCCTATTCCCAGTCCCCAGCACAGTCATCTGGTTCTGTAGATATGCTGTCAATGCTGGAATAAATAATGGATAACTTTCTTCTACCTTGCTTAGCCAGAGATTCCTTGTTCTTTTTTAAAACAATTATTTTCCTTTTAGTTTTAAACTTCATTTGAAAATATTAAAACTGGCTTACACTATATTCTTAAATAAAATCCATTTCTACCTTTTCTCCCTTACAGCCTTTCATCATGTTTCTGTTTACCCAAAGAAGGAGCTTCCTTTTTTCATCAATTTCACAGCAGGACTGTGTTCTTCTACAGCAATGATAGCTCTTCTCACACACCAGTTTCCTGAAATCATGGGTGTTTTTGCTAACGCTGTAAGTATGATCTCAAGGACTTGTGTAGAGTATTTGTAAAACACACAAGAAACCATCTCTGATCTGTTTGTGCTAAGCCAGTTGTTCAGCAGAAGATGTTTGTATAGTAAATTACAGGACTTGATTTGTAAAGCTGCTGCTCTAAATATGTCAAACATAAGTTTTTGCTGACTTGAGCTATGTTTTTGTTGCTTAAAAGTTTAAAAGAATACAATGGCATAACATGATAAAGTTGGTCTTTGTAGATCACTTTTGGTGGTAAACGTAGCACTTGTTACTAGCTAAGGAATAACCCAACTCTTTTAAATGCTTTCTTTTTGGCACTAAAAAAAATTCCCTATTTGAGAAACAGTTCCCTATTTCAGAAACAATTCCCTATTTCAATTTTTCCGTTTAAATGAAATCATTAATGGTAAGGTTTGCTGATGGAGAATAAGTAGGTAAGATGGGACAGATGGAACATTCACCCTGGGTACAGAATGTGCTTCTTTACTCAAAGCTTCTCACTGTTGTATCTGCATGTTCTTCATTGACCTTCCCCAACGTTGGGTGTAGAACCATGGATAGACCTTTATTTTCATTTTTATCCTTTAATTTGAACTACTTCCCCATTTCCTGAGCCAGGTCCAGCAGGTGCTTGAGGAATGATATTAGAATATCCCATGATTATTTACTCTTCTACACAAACGTAGTAATTAATTACTTAACTGGCTCAAAATAAAATTACCAACTTTAAGTTGCTAAGCCTTTAAAAAATGGGTCTTTCTTATACATCTTCACATTTTTACCAGGTAACAATAGTTCAAACCCAAAAGGAAAATACTAATTCATTTTAGTCCTAAATCAAAAAGCATTGTGAACTGTAGCAGCACTAGCCCTTGCTCGGCAATGTAATTTCTATATTTTTCTCTGTATGCCTCCGATCTAACTCCCTGTTGCCTCATAATTTCTTTTTCTGCCTTAAGAACAGTTTATTTTGTGCCTTAAAGATTCGTTGGTTTTCTTTTGGCACCAGGAGTAAAAGCACTGGTTTGCCTTTTTCCCTGAAGGTCAACTGTATAATGTGTTAAGTTGCCACTGGCGGTAGGCCTAGCAGTCTGAGACTGCACTTGATTCTGGGTCAGTCTTCAAGGAGAATGACTTTCCACTGTTGTTCAGGGAGTATAGATATTTGGGTTGGAAACTGACTGTTTCCTTTTAGTGTGAAAGGGAAGCGTAGTGATCATACCATAACTGTTGTTCGCGGTGGTGCTGACTGGGGAGTGAGTGCATCTCAAACTGAGATGATCTTACTGTGTACTCTGGCATGGAAAAAAATTGACTGGAAAGGGAATCCCATCCATTTAACAACTGGAAAAATATATGCAGCTGTGTATTTGAGATCACAGGCAAGCAGTGGGAGAGATGGTCCTTGGGGTTCTCTCAGAGTATTGGAAAGGAGGTAAAATCGAGTGAGGAGAGAGATTTAGAATCTGGAATCGATATGTAGCAATTGTTAGTAGTATGCTTCCATGAGGTACTGGCTAAAATGGGTGCGGAGTGTATTCACTGTCTGCTCTATCCATCAATGGTAGTATGTAGCATCTGTCTTTACCTGAGACATGGCTGATGCACCAGAAGAGCCTTTAAGATTACATCACACAAGCTCCTTAGCACTCCTCCAGTGGAGTCTGAGAATGAATAATTATACATTTTAAAGTGGAAGCTTCTTTTTTTAGACTAAAAGTTATTAATTTACTGTGATTCTAGTTAGTGAACAATAAACAGGCATTTATTTACCATCCTTTGATATTTGTATAGTTGGTGGTATATAGTTAAAAATGTGCCTCACAGCAGACTTTTATAGCCACATTTTATCCGGCAGCCTTTACATGTACATTTTTAGTTCCTAAAAGCTAACTCTTTACTCAGGGTACCTGCAGACCAATATTTGGCATGCCGCAGTACCAAGGGCAGGTTCCACTGAAGAATTTATGGAAAATGATTACATGCAGGCCATCTCCAGCTTATAAACACAATGTATAAATGCCTCCCAGCCAGCCAGCCAGCAAGGGAGCTGGAGGCTCAAATTCTGCTTCTTCCCCGACTTAATGGTGTATGCTGTAGGAGCTTCACCATCACCCAGGAGCTTTTTAGAAAGGCAGAATCTCAGGCGCCACTCCAAACTTCCTGAATCTGCCTTTTAACAAGATCATCTATGTGCATTTAAAACTTGAGAAACCCTGCTCTCATCTCCCCGCAGTCGGAGGAATTTAGACGCCTGGATAGTGCCGCCTCTTCCAGGCAGAGAAGGGGCAGCATTACAGAATGGCATGAGCGTAGGCTCTGGAGCCAGACTGCTTTCCTTTGAGTTCCAGCCCTGGCACTTACTGGCTGTGCAACTTCAGGTAAGTTCCTTAGCCATTTCTCCCCCTCATTGTAAAAGGGGAATAGTACTACCTCGTAGGCGTTTGTGAGGGTTAAAGGAGTTTAAATATGACAGGTGTTTAGAACCATGTCTGTCCACAGAAGAAACTAGGGAAGTGTCACTCTTTTCGCCACCCATCATTGTCATCATTATCACCAGAGTGCAGCTGTGATGAGAAATCCTAACCCCTTCACGTTGGGAGGAGCTGTGTCCTGAAAGTAAACTCAAAATGTATTTTCCCATAGAAATGGCAGTATAAATTGTGGCTAGGTATCATTTAAACAATACTGCTGGTACATTACGTGTATTTGTACCACCAAAAGTGAAGAAATGTTTCAGATTGTAGGCGCTGGCAAACTGCCTGGTAGAACATCAAGTATTGATAAATTGCAAACGGCCTATGTTAGGAGTTTCAATTACGTCAGGTATTTTATAGCCAAATATAGTGGAAATCAATCTAGTAAGGCAAAGCAATTTCAGAAAATTTCCTATATTTTTTCCTTTGTTATCACAGTCTCTTCCTCATCCAGCATATTTTTATATTAGCTCATATGCTAGAGTAAATTTAATTTGAATTTGTTAAAATACGTTTGTTACAAAAATTGCTTTTTTATGAAGCAAGGCACTAGGGATTTATGCTTTTTCATAATCTTCACTGTTCCTCAGATTGAGATAAATGGAAGGGTATGAACTAGAATGGCTAGTGATTTTAGTGCCCCATCTTTTCATGGTACAAAGCTGTGTGGAATAAGACTTTAGTTTCAGCAAGTTAGGACTTTCTTGATTTTTCTCCTGGCTGAGATGAAAACCACGTCTGACATTCGACATAGAGCAATAAAAAAAAAAAAAAAATCACATAAATCCCTGGAGATGTGGAATGTGCTGATATCAGAGCTGATATTCTCCAAGGCCAGAATTCCTGAAAAAGGAAAAATTGCTTTTAAGTGGTAGGTCATTTTCTCACCTGCTTTGAAGCCTGCTGGGTTAAATATGAGAGTTCAAAGTAAGGGTAGCCAGCAAACCAAATGAACTGGAATCCGATTCTGCTTATCTGAAAGGAGCTTCTTTATTTAAGAGCAGCAATGCCCTCTCCTTAGAGAACCAATCTTCATCTAGCCTGGCCCCTTTTATTTCTCTCCTGCAAGAAAAGCTTTCTTCTTAGTAAGCCTTGGGAGGGCATTATCACAGCAGTGAACACTATAGATGGTCTTTGGGGGTTTCACTGACTTACTGATAAATTCAGGCTTGTGGCATGTGACTTTAGTACTTTGAATTCAGAAGTGTGTTTGCATACAAAAATCTCTAGTTGGGTTTTAATGAAACAGGCTAGATAGCCTTTGCAACCTGGCAGAAAAAGATGTTAATGGGTAAAGACAGGAATCAGAAAGATTCCCAAATAAATAGTTTGTTTCACTAAAGCAAAACTTTGTTGAAATCCGTTTCACTGAACACACACTGTAGCTGTGCTGAGGTGGGAATGGGCCCTGTTTCCACATATTTTTACTAATCTTTATGTGGGAAAATGTGGTTGGACATGCCAATGATGAATTTCTGAGCAACTCATAATTGGCTGGCTCCACTGTAACTAGGGCCTAACAATCTGCTTGATTAATTCTTTAAGGACTACATTAGCCAAGTTGTATGATTTCCAAAGATATAGAAAGTCAGATGTTATGCTAACAAAAGACCTTTCTCCAGAATGTCCCACTGGGATTTCTTCAGCCCCTTCCCAAAAATAATTAACATTTTTCTCCCCAAATTACATTTTAAAAAATAATAAGCAGAAATAAATGCCAAGTGTGTTTTACTGAATAGTGATCAAAACTTTTGAGGTTTGTACACTATTCTCGTCATTTTTTTCAGGGCAAAGAGTGTCTTCATACCTAGGGGAGTTGATAGATAATTATAACTTTATATTGATATAGACCAGTAGAAAAAATGTATTATTTCTAAAGGTTCCTAATTTTCCATTGTCATAACCAGTGACATGAAATCTGTTCATAGGTTAAAGTGATTTTTTTATATTCTCCATCTGATTTCATTCATGCTAAAAACCTATGATAATTGTATTGCTCTTTATTAAATACATAGGGCCACATTCAGAAATTCAACCAACAAGTAAAACAAGTTTCTTCACTTTGTTTGAAAATGGATTACTTTTCAAAGCTGTGAGGCTTCTTTGGTTCCTAGGAACTGACATAGTTTTTAAAACATTTTGAATTGTACCCAAGCTTATATCCCCATAAAATACTGTCCTGTAGTCGTGCTCTTCCCACAGCAATATATCTGACGTATTTCCCAGAGATAATACTGATAATAAAAGGAGCCCGTGTGTGACAGGTCAAAACATTTTAAATGTTTACATTTCTGTTCCCTTGTTAGTGCCACTGAATTCAATCTTTATTTGGGCAGCCTAGCATATTCCAATTTTTATTTTCTTAATCAATTGGGATATTTCTAGCAAAAGAAAAGATGTTCTCTGCTTCCATTAAGGGCATTCCTCATGCTTCATTCTCATTGTTTTCCTTTAAAAAGAACCAGACTGAGAAGTTTGTGATATTGCTGTTGTTCTTCTTTATCCATATTTTCTGAGTACTAAACTCTTCTTTTCAAAGTGGGGGGAAAAAAAAGTAAAAGTTAAGACAGTGTACTTTTTAACACATGTTTATACCCCTTCCCCAGGGTTTCCTTCAGTTTTGAAGTTTGTGGAAAACACCCTCTTTCCCTATTAACATGTGCCTGTCAAGTATGAA